TCCCCTATTCTTACCAATAAATAATGGTTTCCCATAGTCTGAAGGTGGTGCAGGATTTCGTCCATCCACAGTATCATATATCTTTTTAGTGGTCATTCTATGGAAGGGACATTTTGATCAACTCCCCAGCGATCGGGTCTAAGGACCTTGGGAACTGTGACGGATGCAGAAAAAGCGAAGCCAATAGGCAGATTCCAAGTTCCAGGGCAGGGAGGCCGGGAGGTGGGGGGGGGGGGGGGCGGTTCTGTGAGTGTGTGAGTGTGCAGTTGAGACACGAGAACTTGCTCCGCGCAAGTGTTGCTCTCTGGTTTTTTGCGCAAGTTCTACTGCAAGCTACTGCGCGCTGCTTGCTCAGAGCACTGCTCCTTTCAATTTTGTACTAAAAAGTTGTGCTTCGCGTGCTGCTTTTGCATTGCCAAGCAGCAGTGTTCGAGCTCGAGCTGCCGGAGCGTACTCCGCCAACTGCTTTCGGACTGAAATCTTGCGATTTTAGCTTGCAAAACCTCCCCGCACACAAAGGGGGGCCCCCGCAAAGGGCTGCGCGAGGAAAACTCGCAACCGTCCGCAGTTTTTTGAACTTTAGCCCTGTCGATCCCTGCCAGGCCGCATGCGGATTGGGCGAGTTTGTTTCGCGGGGAAATGAATCGCGGTGCGAGCTTGAGGAGTTGAACCGAGGAATCCGTTTCGATTGGCTGTGCGCAAGCCCGCCCAGGGCTGTTCTTAAAAACAAAAACTTGGCTGCGGATTACCAAAGGTGCAGAGATTTTTTCCGGGCTGGGACACGACCCTGACCGAGCCACGAGCTCAGCTTCGCTCATGCAAGGATCTGTGCGTGCCGTGGGGTCGAACATTTGGGGGGGCACAGGGGGGCTTGGGGTTGGAATGCCAAGTAAATTGGAACGCTTCCAGACTTGGAAGAGAGTTAGCCTCAGAAGACAGGCTCCTAACGAGTTTCAAATGAAGACAACACCCGCGCTGGTGGCCAGGGTGGCCAGAACAGCATTTGTTCCAATGAACTCTCCGATCCCTAGGGGCCCAAAAGATTTCCCTCACACGCCTCCATGGGGTCCTGCGGATGGCCGGTGGTGGGAACGCCAAGTAGAAAGACGGGACATTTTCCTTTATGGCTGGTCAAAACCGTTTTGGTACCATTTTGGGGTAGGTGAATTCGCCGCCCGTTTTAGGACCTATTTTACTGGGGGTATGATTTGGATTTCGACCCATGGCCATTTGGGAAAGGCGACCCATGGTCGGAACCGGGGGCCTTTAGCTGACCGCCAGGGCTCCAGATGCAAGCGGATCCGGCTTGGGCGAAACATGCTTGAGCCGGGGCGACCGGTGAGGCTCCGGGGGTTTGTAGATTTGCCCCAAGGGCGGCAGTGACGTCACAGGTTGAGTTTAATTGTGAGCTTCTTTTCTTTTCTTTTTTTTTTTGGGGGTGGGGTGGGTGGGGAGGGGGGGCATACAGTATTAGGAACCCTTGGATCGCAAGACGGCAAAGTTTCCTTTGGGCGGGGTGATGTTTTGAAAAGTTTGACGGGACGTGTGTACGGAACCCTGTGTGGGTGCGGCTCAAAACTTAAGAGCCGGGGTTACGCAGGTTTTGGTCTTGTTTCCATTTACCTACCGTCCATTGTAGGGATTCCTTTCTTTTTTTGAGAACCACGGCCATGTGGCAGTTTCCGTTTCGGATTCGTGGGAAAGATCTTCCCGGATCATTTCCTTTGGGGCCAGGCCATGGCCCGAAAACCTCCAAAGCGAGGCGGCGACTCTCGCGGCGTTTTCTCCGCGAGAGGAGGGAAAAAAAGCAAACACGACAGGCGCGGCCTGGCGCAGCCCGGGAGCGAAGGCTCAACTTGGCCCTGAAATTCAGGCAGGCCATCATGAAAAGAATGGTTGGGCAAATACAACCACCATTCCTACACCTGAGGATTGTCATCATCCAAATTGGGTCCCTGAGAATCGTCCTCCAAATTGGGGTGCCAAGGCCAGTCTTTTAATGGTCGGTTGAACCTTCGGGCTGGGATTTGGTCGATTCTCCGGCTGCGAGAAAATAAGTTCAGTGGATTCAACAACCCCCTTTGTGTTTGGCGAGTCGGTGACCCCAAAGGGGCGCCACTGTTTGTTGTTGTTTTTTTTGCTATGCACTGGGCAAGTTGGATAGTCGAGATCTTTACCAGTCAACAGCTTCGTGATTCATGAACTCCTGGTTGGTTGAATCTGGGGCAGGGGGGGTGGGGGAGAAATCGTTCAAGGGAGGATTTGGATCACTTGGGGGGAGCACCCTACGAATCTGCCAGCTTCTGCCAGGTGCTCCTTAAACCCGGGATTGCGAATGGATGAAGCCATGACCCATGCTTTCGGAGAGAGCCACGCGTTTCAACTTGCTGGTGCGATAGGTAGGGAATGACCCTTCCGGGTGTTGGGAATGTTCCCGAAGAAAGGCAACAGGTTGGACGGTTGTCCCTGCCTATCGAACCGAGAAGTTTCATCGACCTCGGCTTGAATGCATCTATGGCCCAAGAGAACAAGAGGAGCTCCATATCTGGTTGAGCGCGGCACCCCAGAAGCCAAAAGTTGTGGCTGCGCGGGGGTGTGCTACGTCCCGAGCAGAATTAAAAATAATAATGCACTTTTTCCTTGAGTGGTGCTGGTGGTGGTGGTGGTCGTGCAAATCCCAGGGTCAACCCAAAACAGCAAGACAGAACCGCAGTTCCCTTCAGATTTTGACGGCGTTCAACAGCCTCCAGATGTGCCCTCACTGCCGGTTTTTGCGAAAGCTCGATGGTTTTGTGTTTTCCCGTGGGCAGCCACAGGAGGTCTCAGGTCACCCTTAGTTCGTGGTTTGGATTCCGCACCTCTGAACCAGCTCCAAAACCACCCCATCGATATCGATGAGTAAAGGGAAGCTGATAGCTGGTTGGTGCCGGAATTTCTCCATTTCCCTCTCGAAGAAACCTCCAAAAGACCGTAGTGGGCAGTCACCAAATCCAGTAACCACCTCTCGAGGTAGGGGAAGTCCACTTGACTGCTGGGTTGGATGTTTAGACTTTAACTTTTTGGCAAATCAAGTTGGGTTTTCACTAAAGCCACAACAAGTTATTCACTAAACCCCCCAAAAAAGCAAGAACAAACTATTTGTTCCACTAAACCCCCCCAAAAAAGTTAAACTGCCGGAGGTGACCATGGCTCAGCCGCGGGCGTTTTGGCGAGGCAGGTGCGATGCCATCGGATTCGGTTTTGGGCAGCCGGCGGCCGCCGGCCGGCCGGCCGGCGGCGGAACAAGGTTGGGTGCGACTTTTTTTCCGCGAGTCAGTGGTCCCAACATTCGTCCTTGTGTTAAGCAGCCCCCTTTTGAGACTCAAGGGCGCCAAGGTGCCACCTGCTCAGCCAAGTCACTTGTCAAACAAGTCGCGCCAGTCCGAGTGCCTTGAGTTGAGGCGGGCGCGGTGTGCGCAAGGCCCAGCTGGTGTCGCGGCACCTGTCGGGGACCTCGGGTCCGGGAAGGGCCAAGTGGACGTTTGGTTTGTTTTTTTGGCGCTCGGCACGGCTTTTCATGGGTTGGTTTAAAGGGAAATCGAAAGGAACGCCGATTTTGACAGGCGCACACACATTTCTGCAAAGCGAAAGGCATCCATCCAAAAGGAAGAGAAAGAGAGAGCGAGAGAGAGAGAGAGAGAGAGAGAGAGAAAGAGTGAGAGAGTGTGAGAGACCAAAAGAAGATTGCCCAAATGAAAATCAAAAGGACCAGTTTTGCAGCTTCCATATCTAGTTTGCCGGGCTGCAGCCGCCATGGAGAAAGGGAAAGGCAACATATGTTTCTACAAGGATTCAAGCAGCTTCTTTTTTTTGGCAGTGCAGGGGCATTGCTGTTTGGATGCTGACAAGGGGTGGTGCTGCTTCTGCTGCTGCTGCTGGGGCGTAGCTTCCTGGGGCCAGGCTGGGGCTCTCTGAGTGCCTTCCTGAAGCAAAGGTCCGCAGACTTTGTGGACAGGAACTATGAGGCGCGGGCTCGCAATGAACTCGAGCTCACCGGGCCAAAGGGAGCTCACCTGGTGGTGCTTAGGCATCTCCTATTTGACACCGCCTCCCCCCCTCCCTCCCCCCCAGCCCCTGGTCGCTTTCGGCTCAGCGCCCCTTGGGACATGAAAGGAACCGCCTCGCGGCTCCGGGGCCTCGGAGACGAACCCTGCCGTGCTGATTCCCCATTTCCCACACAAGTCCCAAAGTTCAGGGCCTAGGGCCTAAAATTTAGGAGGGTTGCCTTGTGCTTTGAATGATAATGAGAACCATTTCGAGCTCTTGCCTTCGAAGACGGCTGTGTTCAAGCGAACGCGCCAAGTATTTTGCTTCAGGTGGTGAAGCCGCCGCGGTCTCAGCTCGTTGCCAGGGATATGCTCATGGAGCACTGTTTGGGATCCAGGCTGAACAGGGAGTTTTGACCATGGCACATGGGTTTGGCACTGGTTCATTTATAAAAGAGCTTGGACCCGAAACCCAAAACTCCATCCAAGTGAGCTACAAAATGCAGACTCCCCATGGTTTTCGGGATGATGCTTGTAGAATATTTTTTTGCGTGCCCCCCCCGTGTCACACCTCATTGTCATTTTCTTGCTGGCGGCAACTATCTGGGTGTGCATTTGTTTGGGGCCCCAACACCGGCTTGGGTTTCCTTGTGGTTTTCCATTTAAACACCAAGCAGCAAGAGATTCCCACCCAAAAAAGGACGAGCCACCCACATCTTCCCAAATAAAGAGCCCTTCGGCAATTGGTGGACATAAGTCCAAACCTAAATGTTCACTAAAGGGCGGCCAAGTAAAAATCAGAGCTACCTAGGTTTGGATAAGCCGCCCTTTGGATTCCTTGCATGGCTTGAGCATGTTGGACCTCTTGCATAACTGGTTCTCAGGTCACCCTTAATTTGTGGCTTCTGATTGGTGGTTTTGGGGGTTCAACCTTGGTTCTTGTAGAGGGTGCAGTAAATGAGAAACCCCGCCCTAACCTCCAACCGGTTCCTTAGGTTCCGTAGCTTTGTAGCTTAGTGTTTAGCGGTTGGATGTCCATTTCACCCACAAGTGGTTGACTCTTAGCCGGGGATCCGGAAACGGACCCCAAAGAGGCTGAGGACTTTATTAGGAACCAGGTCGCCAGGCCAACTTGCAGCACGGCTCGTGGCTTTTGTGGATCCGCCCCTGTAGGATAATAAAAGGGTACCAAAACAGCCGGTTTCCAGAACGGCCGCCGTGGTTTTTCTCGGGATCATTTCGGCGTTTCGAGGCTGAACCGCGGCAGCTTCTCGCGGGTGAACTTGGTGAGGGACCGGCTCACCGGCGCCCTGCGGGTGTGCAAGGCGGGGGGAGGCCGCGTTTGGGGGTGAACATTGGGTCACCCGTTTTTTGTTGGAGTGGGTATGCACGTGTTGGGTGGGTTCTAACGGGAAACGAAGGGCAACACACTTTTTTTTTGGGGGTGCGACCGGGTGCGACCGGCTGCGACCTGAAAAAAAGACAGACTGGAATGGAGCAATGGAGGTCTGCTTGGGTGGTAGTGTGTTTCGGTGGCAGCTTTGTGAGTTAGGAGGCAGTAGCAGGCACTCATCTGACGCTTTGGTTAGTGGGGATGGGCCGCACTTCATGGCACCACGGAGGAGGGGAGGGAGGGAGTATCACAGGAGTGGCTATTTGCTGCAACTCTGATAGGCCGGGTCCAGTACAGTGACGTCCTCAAGCTTTCTCTCTACGTGGGGGAGAAACGGACCTCCCCCCCCAAAAAAAGACATACTTGGGCGAACCGTTTCATTAACATGTGCACTTTAACGGGCCTTGTGTTGCAAACTGACATCGCAGGTTATTGACATAAAGGACATGGACCCGCACGTGCTGGGCATGATGCGGACGCTTGCCAGCACTCCAAGGCTTGCAGTTGGATGTCAAAGCGTCTTTCTCAGAATTCCATTCCTGGTTGGCATAAGGGAAACCAAAAGGAAGCCACACACTTTAACTCTCAAATGAGCTCTCTCCCCTTAGCTTCCCTTGGCAGCTGAAAAAATGGTGTCCTGCAAATGACATCCCGTCGCTTCTCTGGGAAGCGACGCTCAGAAATTCCAAAGGCCGTATGAAAAGGTAAGTTTTGACAACAATTCAGCTGTTCAGTGGCACCCTTTTTCCTCTTTTTTTTTGGGGGGTGGCTGCCCCACTAAAAATGATCTTCCCAAAAAAGGGTTCCCTTTTTTTCCCAGGGTCACTGAACAACTGAGAAGTTTCTAGCGGGCTGGGAAGCGAATCACCAGTATTCCGTATGTGTCAAAATGGGAGGATCAACAACTTTTCTTCCAGGCGCAACCTCCGGCTCAGCACGCACCCACACGCAAGCACACACACACACACATACATACGCACCCCCATTTGTTGGCTTTTTGCCTTCGACTTTCTGGCTTTCAGGAAAGGGTGAGTGCTAAGTTCCGAGCGAGCCTGTTGGCACAGGTGGAATTTTTGTGCAGATCCACTCCTAGTGGTTGGAAGGGAGCCGTTCCGGAGCTAGGGAGCTTGTAGTTTGCCATTTCACATCGTGCCGCGGCTTTTGTTTTCTCCTCCGAGGAAGGAGGTTCAGATCCTTTCGGCGCTGGACCACCCCAACATCGTGCGGCGCCTCGCCGGCAATTGCAATCGGCGCGGCGCGGCGCGGCGCGGGCGGCGCCAGCTGAAAGCGAGCCTATGGGGACGGGGGGTCGATAGGCCCAGGCGAGGAGGGCTGGTTTGGGGCAGCAACCAGGGAGGGTTCAAAAGGAGGGTTCCAGGAGTTCGGGGGTTCCGGGACTGTTCCTGATACAGGGTACTACATGGGCTGATTTCAGGTTGGCTCGATTTAAAGGAAGACCAAGCGGCCTTGCTGCTTCCGCGTGGCTGGCACTTGTTCCCGACATCTTCCGGCAGGATTGCGCGGAGGCGATGGAATCAAGTCATTTGGGGGAGCGCATGGTCCATGGACTTACGACAAGTTGGGGAACTCCTTTTTCCTTTGTTCTCTCTTCAGCACAACCCTCAGCCAACCTCTAATTCGTGGTTTGAATTGGTGGTTTCGGGGAATTGAACCTCTGGTTCTTCTATACAGGGGGTACATGGGAAGCCCCCCCGGAGCTCAATGCATGCCCTCTGAGGCTTTTCGAGTTCGCGGAGGACGATGTTGCGATTCCCGCGCTTCTGATTTTGCGCGCCTTGGGGGTTGAGCTTGAACGAGTTGTCTTTCTCATGAGTGCGGGATTCCTGACTTGCGCTGGGTGTTTTCTACAGCAAGTCTCACACCCAGAGTTCGTGGACGGTTTGCTTTTCCCATGTTGAAGGTCTATAAACAGTTTGGACGTTTTCCGGGACCAGCCACTCAGAAAGTTGGTAGTGCAGATGAGATGCTGCATGCTTTGCGTTAGGACGAGAGGAAGCACGAGCTGGTTTTGATCCTTGAGCGCCTTGGACTCCAATACTTCAAAGCGAAGCGACCGGAAAAACCAAAGGTGTCATTGTGGGTTCCCATATTTGTCCTTTGGTTCCAGTTTTGGGACCGCATGTTAGGTGCAAACCGGGGTTGCGTGAGTTGGTTTTTCCTTTGTGTCTGGCTTTCGCCGGGGATTTCGCGGAACAGGGAACTCAGCAACCCAAGAAGGGCCGGTCCCTAATTTAATGAGATTCCAAGGGATGGCTTAAGATGGGTTCCATCTGCGGGCGTGCAATTCTTGGCTAATTTAAGCAAGGGCTGGTCAACCGTTATGGATATGGCCAACCCAAAGAAACAAACAGCTAGGGGTGCATTCCAGAGTTCGCGGCGATCAAACTTTGAACTAGGCCCACTTGAGGACTCGCTATTCGGCGGCCCGGGCACATGCTGGGTGGGGCATGCTGACATGGTGGGGCTCTTGCCATGTGATCGCTGGTGTATGTTGTTGCTTTTTTGTAGTACCCCTTTTTTTGTGTGTGTGGGGGGGGGGGGGGTTAAAGGGAAGCCGAAGGAAACCCGGCGTCATCAAAGGAAAAGCTCTCAACCGTTTTTAGTGGTGCCCATGTGGGTTCAAAGGGAGACCAACGGAACCCCGGTTTCCGCCATGCGAATCCAACCCGAAAACAGGGCAGACCCATCCCTGGCTGAGGTATGTGCAAGGTGGGGACTGCATCGACCTCCTGGAGGCCAAAGAAGTGGAGCATCAGGGCCAGCTGAATTCGGTGGGCCTTTGAGGCGAAAGGGAACACAGCTTTTGTACCCATTTTGGGGGTGGGTTGTTTTTTGGGCGACACCAAAAGGGACACATTTTTTTGGGGGTGTCCAACCTTAAAGAGACACTGACATTTAGAGGATCCCCTTGCAACTAAAGCGGCTTTTGGATGCATCCTTCAAGTAACCCTAGGAGGTAGGAGGATACGAGCAGCCAAGCTGTGACAGGAGAAGGCTCGACTGCTGCCAGAGCAACTGGCTGCCAGGCACCGGAAGATGTGCACGACTTGCCTTCAGGGCCTGATGTGGGTTGGTCCCCCCTCGGACGGAAATCCCTACCTTATTAGACCCAATTGATGTCCACCAAAGAGTTAGCCCGATTCATAGCCAGATCCAAAACATCCATGTGTGTGTGTGTGTTGCGTGCGCGTTGCGTGCGAAGCTGTTTTCGGAAAGCAACCCTGATGCCTGTGCAGGATCATCCATCAGCTGCTGGTGGTCCTGAACTATTGTCACAAATGCCAGAAGCCCCGGCTCCCTTTGTCCCGTTTCTTTTTCGACAGTAACCACTGGACCCCGTCGCCCCTTTCCTCAGGTACCGCTTAATTATTTGGTGGCTTGGATTGGTTTGGGGCTTTGAACCCCTGGTTCTTGTAGAGAGCCAATGGATTTGAATGATTTGAACCCCTGAGGATACATGGGAAACCGTCAGCCAGCACACCCAGCGCCCCACTCCCCCACTTGTTTGGGGCTCCTTTCGTTGTCTCAAGCGTTGACCTTTTCACTCTTCATGAGTTTTGGAGCCTCCCTGGGACGTGTTCCAGAGTGGGACAAAAGCTTTTGGCCCCCCCCGAAAGCCACGAGCATATTTGGGCCTGTCAGCACCATAGACTTTGAGGCAAAAACCGCCGAGGTGGCATCACCCACCGTGACGTGAAGCCTGAGAACGTGATGCTGACCTCCCTCTCAGAGGATGCCTTTTGCAAGGCGAAGCGGCGAAGCGCTCTCTCTCCATCTCTCTCTCTCTCTCTCTCTCTCTCTCTCTCTCTCCACACCCATTGATTTTTTATACCATGTGTTTTTTCGGTTCCGCTTAGTTAGCGCTGGCTTGGCGGGAATTGAACTGATCCTGGAGGCTTGGGAAGCTGCCCCGAATCGAAGCTCCAAAAAGCACTCAGTACCAAATCACGTAGGGGGAAGCTGGGTTTTGGAACTCACTCCAAACGCAGGGAAGCCCAGTTTTGTCAACCCCAAGTTGCTCACTTCCAAGATGCTCTCAGTTCCCTATTTTCTGGGCTTCTTGAGCGAAGGTCAGACCACTCCACTCAGGATAGTTATAAGTTATAGCTATAACCCACTAATAACGGGTAACCCCACTTAGGAGGACGTTTTTAGTGGGCAAAAACTATCACCTGGGTTGCCAAAAGATCATTTGCACGGAGAGTGCACGCAAAGTGGTCACCAATCACTTTTGACGGTCCCCAATAATTAAAATTCGGACTGCAGAATCCAACCCTCCTTAACCCGGATCCCCAGGTAAATAGGATCTCTCCCTCTCTCACGCTCAGGCTTCCATTTGCTTTAAGTCCGCTGGACAAAAGATCCAGTAGTGATGGATTCCCTTTAAAACCAAAGGATATTTTTAAGCAAAGGGAAGCAGGAGTTTGCTTCCGGGGATGTAGACAATTTCTGACTTCCCCATATCCGGGCGCAGGTCATCGACTTTGGGTTGGCCACTCCGTACAAGGGCCGGGTGAAGGAGTTTGCGGGCACCGTCTCGCGCCCTACGGAGTTGCCGCATACGCAAGCCCAAATTGGGGGCGGTTTGGTTCTTGGAAGGCGCTGGGATTTTGTAAGCGCATTGAAGAAGGTCCTTGCGATCGTTTTTAGGGTAATGTTGACTTTGGACTAATCCGCAAGAACCCCACTCATAATTAAGCCAGAAGCACCCACCGAAAAGTAGGTGCTTTCCTTCCTACAAAGGGGGCCATGTTTGATCAGTATGCCCCGGATCAAAACATCCGAAGTTAAACATGGGGGGGGGAACTTGGTTCCACCCGATCCGCGAAATTCAATTTCGCTGGTTGAACACCTGGGTTTGGAGCGGGTGCAACATCGGCGGGGCAGGATTGATACATTTCCCCACCATCATAGAAGCGGACATTTGGGGCGCCTCCTCTCGACTTCAATACTTGCTGGACAGAACAAGCGCGTTTTCTTGAGGCTCGGCCCCCTTTTCTGGAGTGGCTCAGGGACTTCCCAACTGGAAAGCGACTGAGTCTTTTTGGAGAAGCGGGGCTCCCCAGCACTGGCCACCCAAACCTCAACCTTTGACGCTTGACTGCTATTGGGTTGGATCTTTAGGCTGTAACTTTTTGGTTGAAATAAAGGTGTTTTCCATAAACCCCCCCCAAAAGTTTTATTTTTTTGCAAGGGGGTCGTTGCAGCAACCAAGGACGGGTTTCCCAAGAGGGTTCCGACCTGCGACGTCCGATACGTGCTGCCAGGTACTTGGCCCCCGAGCTCGCCATCGCGCAGGCTCCGACCTCGGGGGGCGCTTGTTGGGCGCTGGAGCCAAAGCCGAGCCGAGCGGAGCTCACTTTCCAGAAATCGGTTTGCATTCGCGCTTGTTGTGGATTTCACATGTTCTTCCCCCTGTAGGTTGTTTTTTACTACTCTGTTTGGACTCTTTTAATATCCTGCAGGTGTGGATGCACAAAAGCCGCATCCCAACCGGTTCCTTGACACTTAGATTAACGAGGGAAAGCCATGTAGGTCGGAAAACAAAGGGGATCCATTTCTTGTTTTAGATCTTTCTGGCAGAGAAATCCAGCCACACGTTCCAGCTTATCAATCAACCAAAAGTAATGATTCCTGACATTGCCGTGGCAATATTAGTTGAGTTTGCAAGTGTCCAGGCAAGGGCCAATGGGGTATCAAATTACACATTTCCCCAACAGATTGTGTCACCTGGAGGTCTTTATAAACAGTTTGCTGAATAGTTGGACCAATGACGGTCATTCTCAGTCAGGCAGAATGGTCGACTTTGAGGTTTCTACAAACGTCGTGGTTTCCTTTGTTCCAGCATTTCTTTGTCTTTCTTCTTTTCGTGTTGGTTTCGTTCTTTTGCTTTATGTTATTTATTTCAATTATGCTACCTGTTGTTTTACCAAAAAAAAAAGATGAAAAAAACAACTATTTTGTTTTTGGGGGAAGTCTCACTGGCGAATCCCCAGGGGACCCGCCAGATTTGGCTGGTTTTGGGTTTTGGGGGCTGTGCAGGGCCGCGACCCATGAGACGTCAGGCAGGTTTCTCCATGGCTGCGGACATTTGGGCGGTGGGGGTGACCGCCTTTGAGCTCCTGGCGGGTGCGGAAGCCGAGGGGCGCATGGTTGGTTTCTATATATTCATTTGTTTATTTATTCATTGATTTATGTATGTATTCATGGATTTATTTATTTATTTATTTATTTATTTATTTTACTTGTTGTGTTCCATATAATTTGTTGATTTGTTTATATGTGTTTCTATTTATTGTATTTGTTCATCTATATTTGTTTTTATTTATGTGCTTCGGCTTGTTTTGTTTGTTTGTTTGTTTGTTTGTTCGTTTGTTCGTTCGTTTATTTATTTGTTAGATAGTTGTATATAAAATTATATGTGTGTATCTAGGTATATTTAAAGGGGCGGAAGGGGGGAAACCTATGAGATTTCCCTCAGCCTGAGCAACCTGACCAGGTTTCCGTTGAACCAACCTGAAAAGGTACCTTCAAACAACACAAACCCATTGATTCTTCTTCTTGATGCAGGCAGCCCTTTCTCAGAGATTTGCGCCTTCTGACCGAACACCCAGATTGCCAATATGAACCAACTACGGGCTACCCAAGCCTGAGGATGAGTACCCAGCACGGGTGTGTCCAACAATTTGCAGCCCATCTCTTCCACGCTTCGCTAGGTTTCCCTCGGTGGTGTTCAGCACTTCTTGGGCAAGCTTCAAGCGAGCTTCCTCTTGCCTGTGATGTTTAGCGGGAACATGCACAGAGCCCTGGACAAGGATGTGTGCCCCGAAGCAACATCATGTTTCCAAATATCCGGAGCTAACCCTACTGGTTCTCCGTTCCTGAGTTCCTGGTCTGTTTTGGGAAGACCGGTTTAGCGGTAAAGAAACAGTCTAGACCCTAGGTTTCAACCCCCCACTAAAAGAAAGGTTGACCCAATTTGGATGATGACAACCCTCACGTAAACGATGGTGGTTATATGCCGCTGAGGGTTTCAATGGTGGTTTTTGAATGCCAGGGTAGACTTTCTCTGGTCAATCTGCTCAGGTGAGGGTCGAGAAAAGGCCAGCAGGAAGCGCACTCACAAGCATTGGGTGTCCCGTCCCAGATTGTTTTGGATGGATACAAGGCTCCCGAGATTTTCGGTGCCGCTCTGGAGTCCGAATGGAGCCCGAAAAGGATCAAACAAACGCCGGGGTCAATTCCCGGATGGAGATTGCTCTGAACCACTTTGCACTTTTTAAGGTCCATGATTTGCAGGATAATTAGCTGGAAAGTGGCTACGATGCTAGGTCTTTGCCATCCATGGATGCCGTTAGAATGGCGGTAGGGATGCTTTAGAAATGCAGGTTTAAGCCAAGGAACTGTTCGGGAAAGTTTGATGCGTCCCGGGATCATCAATGCAATGCACTCGTGAACCTGAGTGCGTGTGACCTACCCCACGAGCCTTCTGGCCGACCGAGCCCCGGAAATACACCAAAAAGATGTGTGCCAACGAAAGCGCGAGGGCTCGAGCGCACGCGATTCGCGTCCTGCAGGTCCTTGCGCATGGGGGAGGCCAGTTGACCGGAACCGAAAGAGGTGGTCGCTTAGGCCTCCAACGCCCGGCCGCTTCCGCCAGCTTCGGTCATGAAGTCCTTGCTGCGGAGGGTGGAGGGCCGGCGGGGCGAGCGTCAGCCCGGGTCGCGGCAGGCCGGGCCGTTCGGCCTACATATCAACCTCTCCTTTTGGGCCATAGCAACCTCCCCTTTTGGGGTCTCTCCCCAAAAGATTTGGCTCGGACACCTCCCTCGTTTGCCTCCTTTAGCCATGTAGCCACGTAGCCCACGGACGCACTAGCCGAGACTCGAGGCGCTGGGCACCTTGAGCTGCATCAACGCCCTGAACTTCGCGGACCGCTACGTGCCCTCGGCCGTGAAGACCAACATGCAGCTGGACCTGGGGCTCAACGACTGGCAGAGCGCCCTGCCGGCCATGGCCATGACCGCCGTCTTCACCGCGCCTTGGAGAGAGACAAAAACCGAAAAAAAGCAAGAAACTCAAGAAACCGACTTCTGCTTTTTTCGGCGGCGTTTTTTGTTTTCCCCGTGTTTGTTTTTTCTTCGGCGGCGGAGTTTTTTTTCTTCAGAAGATCCGGGTGTTGCGAAACGGGAAAAATACGATTTTTAACGTTGGTTTCCTGTTGGTTTGAGTTTCAACCATCCCCCCCAAAAAAACGTGCCCCACGCCCACTCCTGAACCTGGAAAATGAGCCCACGCCAAGTGACAACTTCAACGGGCAAAGTCCGCTTGGCCTCCAAAGGATCAGGAGTGCATCCGGGAGGATCTCTTCGATTCTAACCCCATTTAGGGCCAATCGATTGGCCACCGAGTGCTTCCGAGCCTTGGGTTGTTTTGGCCTTTCCTGTTGGGAAACCCCACGTGGGCCATGCTTCTTCTGCCTCTGATTGATGCCCGGAATTCAAAAAGTGCTAAGTGCTACGCCCTTGGTTCAACTTTTGTTGGGACTTCCGTGTAAACTCAACCAGCCAAAGCAAAAGTGCTAAAAAAACAAAGAACCATAGCCACCCTTTGGCTCATATGGAAAAAACAAGGTGGGGTTCTGCCCTGCTTCCCATGGGACCAACTCGTGTCAGGCGCCCTTTGGTGGTTTGGACTAGTGGCGGTTTCGGGATTTGACCCCCTGGCGTTTGTAGAGGGTACTTGGGAAGCCACCCGGAATACCAACCCACCGAAACGGGCAGCGGTTGGATGGGCTCCGTTCCGGAGCCAGGGGTGTCCAAGCCTTTCGGGGGGTGGTCAGGGACATGGTCGCCTTTTTTTCGAATGCAAAGATCCGCGTCTGAGTCACACATCAAGATTCCGACGTGTGGGTGTGGGTCAAGAAAGGGTAACCCCTAAGAATGTCGTACCCGATCGGTAGATGGAAACAATTAAGGACTTTTCAACAGGTCCACTTCCTGGTTTCAGTTTGGCCCATACAATTGGCTGGATCCCTGGGACACCTGCACGGAACCGGAGAATCAACAAACGGGGGCTGGCTAGTACCGTAACCTTTGTGTGGTTCGGAGGATTTTTCGGGGTTGAGTTGGGTACACGGTGGGGGGGCGGGGAGGGACGCCAAGAGGAAAACCGCAATTTTGGGGGGGACGCCCCTACACCGCTGCACTTGGGTGTGGTTCCCGTTGTTTGGAACTGGTCCTCCAAGGGCCTTCCACAACGGGGTTGCCCTTAGTTATCAGCCAAAGACCTGCTTTTTCAGGTCCTGGAAGGTGAAGGTAACTGATTAGCTTTGACTCTAGCCCATGTCATTTGCTCTGGGATTCAATCCACCATGAAAATAATGGTTGGGTTTCGTATAACCACCATGGCTGACCTAAACCTTGTCATCCTCCAAATTGGGTCCCCTTGGCCCTTTCTTTTACCTGGGTCCTTGGGAAAAACCTAGGGAAAATGTACCCCTGTCATCCGTCCGGAGGTGGCCTCCCTGATCTTCGGCTTCCTGGCGGACCGCGAGCTGCTGGACCGCCGGGTGCTGCTGGCGGGGGGCATCGCCTTCTGGTCCTTCGCCACGGCGCTCGCCGGCTTCGCGCCTCGGCCGAAGGGAGCGGAGCGGAGCGCACGGCGGGTGGTGGGGGGGGGGGGTGGTTTCCAGGTGGCGCCTGCCGGATTCGGGGGCGGGGAAAGGGGGAGCCAGGTTCGGGTGTGGGTGCGGTTCCCGTTGTTTGGAGCTGGTTTCCTTTTTTGGGGCTTTCTAAAGCAAGACATACCTTCCATTTGGGTGTGGCTGAAATATAGGAATTGGATTTCTCAAAATCGAACCAGGGTAAAACGGAATAGAGCCACACACATCGCAAAATGACGACTTGCTGTATGTTTTGTTAAGGGAACGTATCACTACTCGCATATGTTTCCAGGGGTCTGAAGCAAATGGAGGTTGAGTAGACGTTGCCTTTTTGCAACCATTTTCCCGGGCGCCCTCATTTTGAAGGACACAAAAGGGAACTCTGCAAAAAAGACAGAGATCCATTGCAGTGGGGCATTTCAAACGGCATTTCCGTTTACGTTTTTTGCAGCCGGTTTTACTTCAAACCAATATGGGGTTCCCAATTGGTACCCCCCAGCATCCACAAAAAAAATATGGAACCCTCTCGAACCCTCCCTGCAAGCTACCCCAAACCTCCCCTTGTCGCCTATTTGGGCCTATCAACCCACAGCTTCAGCCGTTGGGGAAAGAGGTGGGCCATTCCCACGGCGATGAAAAGACGACGAAAAGTCCTTCACCAAAAATGGTGCAAACAAAAGAGGACATTCTGATTTGCCTTTTGGCTTCTCTTTAAGATCAACCCACAAGTGGTGTTGTCAAAAAACAGGATGGCGCACCCACATTTTTCGAGGGTGTCATTTTTGGAGGGCACCGGCGTACCTCTTTGAGGCCTTTGCAGGGAAACCCACAGGAGAATCGAAAGCCGAAAACCGTTTTGGGGGGTCAAGAAGACAAAGACCCAACTCCAAAGAACAGTTTATTTTCCCTTTGGTTTCCCAACCAAAGAGTGGTGTTGTCAAAAAGACAGGCACACCCAAATTTTCCAAGGGCGACACACCCTGCATTGCCAGGAAACCCACAGGAAACCCCCAGGAACCCACAGGAAACCCACCGGCAAAACGAACAAAATCTCGCAGGCCCAGAACCTGTGGCAGCTCATGCTCTTCCGGTCCCTGGTGGGGGTTGGGGAGGCCGCCTTTGCCACCGTGGCGTCCCCCATGCCGCTCGTCCTCGCTCGTCCTCGCTCCGCTCGAGTCGGTTTCGGAGTTTCGAAGCCGGCCCCTTTTAAGGAAGGGCTTGAGGAAAATACGGGGGATACCAAAGCCCCAGTTTGGATTTGTGGAGTGCCCGAGTTTTTGTTTGGCACAATTTGTGTTTTTTGTCGCGCCTTTGGGGTGTTTTTGTTTGCCTCCCGACTTTGTGTGGCCAAGATTTGCGATTTGTTGCCGATGTTTGACCTCTTTTGCCAGGTTTGCAAGTTTTGCCAATGTGTGATCTTCGGAGGGGAGTGGGTGGCAAGGTTGGTCTCAAAGGGGGCCCGACGGTCCCATTTCCGCACGGGGTCCATGGGTGCGATTTGCTTTTCGGAAGACAGCATGTCCGGGCTGCATTGTTTTGCCATTTGTTGCCTTTACATATTGCCCGGACGCATGCTTTGTCGTTTGTTTAGACTTGCTATTTCGACGTCCCTGGTTTGTGTATAATTTGCCCGGGCGCTTGTTCTTTCCGTTGTCTTCGATTTTTGTATGTCCATGTTCTTTGTTCACCAACGTCGGGGGGATGCCTACCAAGAACTTGTCTAGATCAGGCTGATGAAAGGGCAGCGCTGGCCAAGTTGTCTGCCAGTGTAACTGATCTGTTTGCTACCCTCCTGTCCACTTTCGCGGCAGAAGATCATTTTCATGAAAATGGGTCTGTCCTTTTTTGAGGGTACCCCTATTTTGTTTTCACGAAAGCTAGCTTTAGCTAGCTGAAGTTTCTCCTTGCGTAAGCAAGGTAAGGGGCTCAACTGCCGAAAGATTGATTTTTTCAATTATTTGAGCCGAAAAGATTGAAAAAAGTCAATTATTTAGACCCCCCCCCTCCCCTCCCGGGCAGTGGCTTGATTCCTCCTTGGTCCACCCCTCCCCCCGGGCAGTGGCTCAGTGTTTCAGCAGTCTCGGTTTGCCCGTTTTGGACTTGGTGCTACGAACTTTTACATGTTCCACCGATTCAGCTTGTTCATTTGAGACCTCAGTCTTCTCAGTAAACCACCTCACAAGAATCTTTGCACACGCGGCATGCAGAACCCAGAGGTGCTTTAAGACAGCTTCTGACGCCTCTCGTTGTTTTCATTTTTCAAGGTTTGCCACGCCACCATGTGCGTTTGCGTGTCGCATCCTACGAATCTTGCCGGGCCTCTCGTTGTACACAAGCTACCTATGAATCCACTCTGTCACCGACCCATCTCATGCAGCAACTGCTAGCTTTCGTTCACCCGCTCCTCAAGTTGTCAAAGGGAAACCAAAAGACACAACGCCATTTTGTGGGTCCCCTGAAGCAATTCGGGGGGGCGCAGCTTACGTATCCTCGGGGGTCTGCACGGCAACGGCGAGGATTGCCGATTTCTACCCGGCGCCTCAGCGGAACCGGGCCTACACCATCTTCGGTCTGAGTGCTCCGGTGGGGGCTGCGATCGGATTTGGCATTGGCTCGATCATGGGGCAGGAGCGGACACGTTTCTTCCATTTGCTTAAGAACATGTTTTATTTTCCCTTGTCGGCTTTAAAGGGAACCTGCACATGTTTTTATTTTTCTCAGGACGCTTCAGCAATGGAAGGTTTTTCGTCGCGTTTCGTGGGGGCCCCTTTTCTTGGGCCTAAGCCTTTTTCTTTTTTTGAGGGGGGGGGAAACAGCAAAAGGATGAATGACCTAAGACTTGGGGTCTGACACGTTTTTTTCTCTCGCCTGTTGGCTTCCCTGTTGGGGGGGAGGGAGGATCATGCTTTTGTAGCGACTGCACGTAAAGGTTCCTTTTTCGGGGCTCCTAATTTCAGGTTCTGTACCGAGGTTCAAATGGAACTTTGGGTTTCAGGGCTATACAAGAGTCTTAGGGAATGGCCAAGGTTTCCCAGCTCTCCCTTTCACCAATTTGGGCCAACTGTTTGATTCACAGACGATTCGGCGATCCGTGTCTGTCAAAATGGCCGGCTTGGCCCTGCCGGTTGCCAAATAAAAACCCGCAAGTTTTTTCGAGCCCCAGTTTTTTTCGGGGCTCTCCCCCTGGGACCTCGGTAGCTGCCAAGGGCGGGGAGCTTCTCCCCGCTGACCTTCCGGCGCTCGCCGCGCGCGCGCCCCTCTCGCGTCGCGTCTTGCGCGTCGTCCGTCGCCAGGAGCTGGGCTGGAGATGCGCCTTCTTCGTCTGCGGCTTCCCGGGGGTGGTGGTGGCCTTCACCGTGCTGCTGCTGAACGACCCCCCCATGGGGATCAACGACGCCTGGAATTTGGGGTCAGGGGCCACATTTTTTGGCGGGGTTGTGGTCGAAGAATAGAGGGCACTGGTTTAGGGTGTCCTTCTTTGGTTGGTTTGCTGAAACAAACAGATGGCGCTGGTTTAGAGTGTCCTTCTTTGGTTGGTCGGATTGCTTAACAGATAGATGGCACTGGTCTAGAGTGTCCTTGCTTGGTTGGTTTGCTGAAACAAGCAGATGGCACTGGTTTAGAGTGTCCTTCTTTGGTTTGGTTTGCTTAACATATAGATGGCACTGGTCTAGAGTGTCCTTGCTTGGTTGGTTTGCTGAAACAAGCAGATGGCGCTGGTTTAGAGTGTCCTTCTTTGGTTGGTCGGTTTGCTTAACAGATAGATGGCACTGGTCTAGAGTGTCCTTGCTTGGTTGGTTTGCTGAAACAAGCAGATGGCGCTGGTTTAGAGTGTCCTTCTTTGCTTGGTTTGCTTAACAGATAGATGGCGCTGGTTTAGAGTGTCCTTGCTTGGTTGGTTTGCTGAAAAACAAGCAGATGGCGCTGGTTTAGAGTGTCCTTCTTTGCTGGTCGGTTTGCTTAACAGATAGATGGCGCTGGTTAGAGTGTCCTTGCTTGGTTGGTTTGCTGAAACAAGCAGATGGCGCTGGTTTAGAGTGTCCTTCTTTGGTTGGTCGGTTTGCTTAACAGATAGATGGCACTGGTCTAGAGTGTCCTTGCTTGGTTGATTTGCTGAAACAAGCAGATGGCGCTGGTTTAGAGTGTCCTTCTTTGGTTGGTCGGTTTGCTTAACAGATAGATGGCACTGGTCTAGAGTGTCCTTGCTTGGTTGGTTTGCTGAAACAAGCAGATGGCACTGGTTTAGAGTGTCCTTCTTTGGTTGGTCGGTTTGCTTAACAGATAGATGGCACTGGTCTAGAGTGTCCTTGCTTGGTTGGTTTGCTGAAACAAGCAGATGGCGCTGGTTTAGAGTGTCCTTCTTTGGTTGGTCGGTTTGCTTAACAGATAGATGGCACTGGTCTAGAGTGTCCTTGCTTGGTTGGTTTGCTGAAACAAGCAGATGGCACTGGTTTAGAGTGTCCTTCTTTGGTTGGTCGGTTTGCTTAACAGATAGATGGCACTGGTCTAGAGAGTCCTTGCTTGGTTGGTTTGCTGAAACAAGCAGAGTGTCCTTGCTTGGTTGGTTTGCTGAAACAAGCAGATGGCACTGGTTTAGAGTGTCCTTCTTTGGTTGGTCGGTTTGCTTAACAGATAGATGGCACTGGTCTAGAGTGTCCTTGCTTGTTTGGTTTGCTGAAACAAGCAGATGCGCTGGTTTAGAGTGTCTTTGTGTTCCATTTACCACTTTAAAACAGAATAGATGCGCTGGTTTTAGAAGTGTCCTTGCTTGGTTTTTTTGCTGAAACAAGCAGATGGCACTGGTATTAGAGTGTCCTTCTTTGCTTGGTTTGCTTAACAGATAGATGGCGCTGGTTTAGAGTGTCCTTGCTTGGTTGGTTTGCTGAAACAAGCAGATGGCACTGGTTTAGAGTGTCCTTCTTTGGTTGGTCGGTTTGCTTAACAGATAGATGGCACTGGTCTAGAGTGTCCTTGCTTGCTTGGTTTGCTGAAACAAGCAGATGGCGCTGGTTTAGAGTGTCCTTCTTTGGTTGGTCGGTTTGCTTAACAGATAGATGGCGCTGGTTTAGAGTGTCCTTGCTTGGTTGGTTTGCTGAAACAAGCAGATGGCGCTGGTTTAGAGTGTCCTTCTTTGGTTGGTCGGTTTGCTTAACAGATAGATGGCACTGGTCTAGAGGTGTCCTTGCTTGGTTGTTTGCTGAAACTAGCGAGTGGCGCTGGTTTAGAGTGTCCTTCTTTGGTTGGTCGGTTTGCTTAACAGATAGATGGCACTGGTCTAGAGTGTCCTTGCTTGGTTGGTTTGCTGAAACAAGCAGATGGCGCTGGTTTAGAGTGTCCTTCTTTGATTGGTCGGTTTGCTTAACCGATAGATGGCACTGGTCTAGAGTGTCCTTGCTTGGTTGGTTTGCTGAAACAAGCAGATGGCGCTGGTTTAGAGTGTCCTTCTTTGGTTGGTCGGTTTGCTTAACAGATAGATGGCACTGGTTTAGAGTGTCCTTGCTTGGTTGGTTTGCTGAAACAAGCAGATGGCACTGGTTTAGAGTGTCCTTCTTTGGTTGGTCGTTGCTTAACAGATAGATGCACTGGTCTACTATTGTGTCCCCTTGCTTGGTTGGTTATGCTGAAACAAGCAGATGCACTGTTGTTTAGAGTGCCTTCTTTGGTTTTGTTCGTTTGCTTAAAGATAGATGCACTGTCTAGAGTGCCTTCGCTTGGTGGTTTGCTGAAACAAGCAGATGGCAACTGTTTTAGAGTGTACCTTTCTATTGGTTGGTCGTTATTGCTTAAACAAGAATAGATGGCACTGGCTAGAGTGTCTGCTTGTTGGTTTTGCTGAAAACAAGCAGATGGCACAGGTTTAGAGTGGCCATCTTGGTTGGTCGGTTTGCTTTAACAGATAGATGGGCACTGGTCCTAGAGTGTCCTGCTTTGTTGGTTTGCTGAAAAAGCAGATGGCACTGGTTAAGAGTGTCCTTCTTTGGTTTGGTCAGTTTTGCTTAACCGATAGATGGCACTGGTCTCGAAAATGTCCATGCTGGTTGGTTTGCAGAAAACAACTGCAGAAATGGCACTGGTTTAGGGAGTGTCCTTCTTTGGTTTGTATCGGTTTGCTTAAAACAGATAGATGGCACTGTTCTAGAGTGTCCTTGCTTGGTTGGTTTTCCTGGCACAAGCCAGATGGCACTGGTTTTAGAGTTGTCCTTCCTTTTGGTTGGTCGTTTGCTTTAACAGATAGATGCCCTGGTCTAGAGTGTCCTTTGCTTGGTTGGTATTGCTGAAAACAAAGAATAGCAGATGGCACTGGTTTTAGAGTGTCCTTCTTTGGTTGGTCGGTTTGCTTAACAGATAGATGGCACTGGTCTAGAGTGTCCTTGCTTGGTTGGTTTGCTGAAACAAGCAGATGGCACTGGTTTAGAGTGTCCTTCTTTGGTTGTTCGGTTTGCTTAACAGATAGATGGCACTGGTCTAGAGTGTCCTTGCTTGGTTGGTTTCCTGAAACAAGCAGATGGCACTGGTTTAGAGTGTCCTTCTTTGGTTTGGTCGTTTGCTTAACAATAAGGATGGCACTGGTCTAGAGTGTCCTTGCTTGGTGGGTTGCTTGAAACAAGCAGATGGCAACTGGTTTAGGCTTGGTCCTTCTTGTTTGGTCGTTTGGCTTACCAGATAGATGGCACTGTCTAGAGTGTCCTTGCTTGGTTGGTTTGCTGAAACAAGCAGATGGCGCTGGTTTAGAGTGTCCTTCTTTGCTTGGTTTGCTTAACAGATAGATGGCGCTGGTTTAGAGTGTCCTTGCTTGGTTGGTTTGCTGAAACAAGCAGATGGCACTGGTTTAGAGTGTCCTTCTTTGGTTGGTCGGTTTGCTTAACAGATAGATGGCACTGGTCTAGAGTGTCCTTGCTTGGTTGGTTTGCTGAAACAAGCAGATGTCACTGTTTGGAGTGTCCTTCTTTTTGGTTGGTGGTTTGCTTAAATATAGATGCACTTGGTCTAAGAGTGTCCCTTTGCTTGGTGGTTTGCCTGAAAACAAAGCAGCATGGCAACTGTTTTAGAGTGTCCTTCTTTGGTTGGTCGGTTTGCTTAACAGATAGATGGCACTGGTCTAGAGTGTCCTTGCTTGGTTGGTTTGCTGAAACAAGCAGATGGCACTGGTTTAGAGTGTCCTTCTTTGGTTGGTCGGTTTGCTTAACAGATAGATGGCACTGGTCTAGAGTGTCCTTGCTTGGTTGGTTTGCTGAAACAAGCAGATGGCACTGGTTTAGAGTGTCCTTCTTTGGTTGGTTTGCTGAAACAAACAGATGGCACTGGTTTAGAGTGTCCTTCTTTGGTTGGTTTGCTGAAACAAACAGATAGCACTGGTTTAGAGTGTCCTTCTTTGGTTGGTCGGTTTGCTTAACAGATAGATGGCACTGGTTTAGAGTGTCCTTCTTTGGTTGGTTTGCTTAAAAAATAGAGCGTCCCGGTTTACCTGGTGGTTTGATCATCTACCAGGGCCATCCCTTCCGATGTTTGTGAGCATAACGTTAACCCGGATTAATAAACCCCTGGTTGATTAATAGGGGGTGTCCCCTTTTAGTGGTTGGATTCAGACCACTTTTGGAGGGACCCCTAGTAATGGGACGGGTTATTAATCCTGGGTCAACATTAGGTGTCCTTCTTTGGTTGGTTTGCTAAAAAAATAGAGCGTCCTGGTTTACCTGGTGGTTTGATCATCTACCAGGGCCATCCCTTCCAATGTTTGTGAGCATAACGTTAACCCGGATTAATAAACCCCTGGTTGATTAATAGTGGGTGTCCCCTTTTAGTGGTTGGATTCAGACCACTTTTGGAGGGACCCCTAGTAATGGGACGGGTTATTAATCCTGGGTCAACATTAGGTGTCCTTCTTTGGTTGGTTTGCTAAAAAAATAGAGCGCCCTGGTTTAGATGGTTTATTCCATGTACCAGGGCCATCTATTTCCCCTAAAGGGCCGCCTATGCTTGTAAGCCAAACTCGCTGGGGCGATGATCGGGGCTTTGCTTTCGTTGGTTTTCTTTGGCGGTAACGTAACCCCTTCGCCTCCGGTTTTTGTGGATTCCTGTTTTGTTTCTTCGTTAATGTCCGGGTCATTCCAACTCATCCCCTGCTGAGAAACAGCAAGATGTAAAAGGTTAGCCTGTATTTTCTGGGTGCGACCAGGGCAACTGAGGATGACGGCGAAGACCCGCTGCATGAGGACGACGATGAAGATTCAGATTCCGACTCGGACGGGACAGAGAAGAGCGTGGGCGGCCACTGCTTGCGAGAGGAGCTGCAGTTGCTGCGAAACCCCTACTTCTTGCTGGCAACCATGGGGATGGTGGCCATTACATTTGCAATAGGGGGCCTTTCTGAATGGTATCCGACCTTCTTAGTGCGCTATGCCCACATGGAGGAATCCTCCTCTGGGCTTGTGCTCAGCGGGAGTAGCGTCCTGAGCGGTATTGGCGGCACAGTGTTAGGTTCCAAGGTCGCAGATTACGTCGCCCAGAACATCGGCCCCGGCGCTTTCTTCCTGGTGCCAGCCGCATTCATGGTGCCGGGCGCTATTCTGATTGCATTAGCGGCGAACCTCAAGAGCAAGGCCTTCCTGGCGACACTGCCGAACTTGAGCCGCCATCTTTTGCCAACTTTCGGCCTTGGGCACTTTGGTCTTCCCTGCACCGAAACAGTTGAGAGGGCCGACCCTTGAACCCCAACGAAGGAAGTCCGATCCCTGAACCGGAAACGAGGGGGTTCTCGAGTTCCTTCTGTTCTGTTGGGCCTTTCTGGGGCACTCTTTCCGTGACACGGGGATTCCCTTCAAAGTAAAGTAGTCATGGGAATGACGAATTACTTTAATATCACAGAAAGGCGCCCATTTTCACAATGCCAGGCTTTTGCTTGCATGTGTTGGGCCAGCTCATTGTCTAGTTACAAGGGGATCTAAGGTACTCTTAGCCGAGCTTCAGGGTTCCCAATTTAAATGGGCTCGCTCCCTGATATTCAAAGGGAAGAATCAAGAGCCTGGGAAAGGATTTGTACCCCAAGCAGACCAGCATGGGGGGGTGTTTCCCGAAATAGGGAACTAACCTTCTCGGCTTGAGAAAAGTCAATCAGCAGGAAGCACAACCATTTTCTTAGGTGTCCCCATTTTCGGATCAATGGCAAGACAAATGCAGAGTTGTACCCATGTCGTGCCCCCGGGGGGGGGGGGGGGAAAGCAAAACGCGCGGTCTTTTCTTGGACAAGCAAGCTGGGTACGAGAAGGCTGCAACTCCAAGCCAAGGTGAGCCACAATCACAACCCGGGTAGATGAAGCTTAGTAAAGGACAATCCCATCCATAAATAGCTTCGGCCGCCTTCTTGATTCCTTACATGGTTCTGGGATTACGACCATTGTAGTACCGGGTTTTGAGCAAGTGACTCAGGTGGCGTGCATCATCTTTGGGGAGACCTTCTTCTTCACCTACCAGGCCCCCATCACGGCACTCTCCATGCCGCTCGGTGAAGTCTCGAGCGGAAAAAATGCCCACGTCGCCAAGGAACTATGGAGGGACAACATCTCACCTGCAAATGCCAACAAACAATGGTGTTTCATGGTTTCAAGGTGGTGCGAACGGATTTCGTCCCCTCTGAGCAGATCGCTTATCTAAAAACGGGCTTCCGAATGTCAGGTTCAAGGTAACGTGGGCCAGAGGGTACACGTACGCATCTAAACCCCAACCCCGAGTGGCGCAAAAGAATGGCACCCTTCTTTTGGTAGTCAGGTTCAAGGAACACGTGGAAGGGTTCTGCAGCCTTTCTTCTGGAGGTTTTTCCGAGCAAGCAAGCAAGCAAGCAAGCAAGCAAGCAAGCAAGCAAGCAAGCAAGCAAGCAAGCAAGCAAGCAAGCAAGCAAGCAAGCAAGCAAGCAAGCAAGCAAGCTACCAGCACCCAACGACAGATCGGATTGGGACAGATTCGTGGGTGCTAGCAAGAGGTGGATCAGCTTTGTTTCAAAGGAAGCCAAAAGGTGTTGTGTTTTTCTTTGTTTGTTCCATGTCTCGTCTAACAAAATCCCACAAGTATAGTAAGTGATTCACTTCTTCAACAGGAAACACTTTAAGGGCGATGAGTAATTTTTCGCTTGTCCAGTCAAAAGGGGGGATAGATGATTTGCCCTCCCACCAGCTAACATGGAACCTGACGTTCCGGGGGCTCCCTGGTTTGGAGCATGTTCCTTTTAAAGAGGCTTCCATGCTGTACTTGGGTGGGAGGGCATCAATCTCTCCACGACGTAGCGCCCAGGTCTGGAATAATAGCCTGCCCGTATGAACATCTCTCCAGACGCAGGCCCGACGCCGACGCAGCCCAGGTCGGTTCTTCCAGTGCACAGCCGGGGTCGGGGCTCCAGCCTCCAGATCCTTCTGTGCCACGCCCTGGGGGATGTCATCTCCCCGCCCATTATCGGCTTCATCTCGGACAAGTCCAGTCTACAGCTCGGCCGGGATCGGAGTTGTTTTTGTCGCTTTTGCTTTTGCTTCTTTCGAACATTCTGAAGGGGCAGCTTTTTTTTGGGCTTCTGTCTTTCAAAATTCTGAAGGGGTATGTGTCAGGAATAGGGGGGACGAAACTCCCCCAAAGCAGAGAAGCATGGGACTTTGGGTTTCCCTTGAAACAAATTTCGATTTCCAAAAAGCCGCGAATGTGTTTATTTCATGCTGCCAATCATGGTGTTTTCAAAATGGTGGACCCCCTTTTCGGTGGTGTTTAAACGGAAGCCAAAGGGAACCAACCAATTTAGGGTGCCCCGTTTTTGACACATACTCATATGTTCTTTTCATGTTGCCAGAAGGAAGCCAGAAGGGGATGAGTAATTTTCAACTTTTCATCACATGAGGATGCTTTACATGTTGTCAAAAGGAAAGCACAGGCATGCGATTCTCATTAGTTCCCAGAGCAAACTAGAGGGGTGTTTTTTCCATGTTTCTGTGCCGCAAGGAAATCAAGAGGGGCTGTGTTGTGTAATCCCAGGACACACTTCCCTGGTTTGCATAGAACTGTTGCTTGCGACATATCTCTAAGATGGTTTCCACTAGCCCCAAACCGAAGCTACCCCAAGGGGTTTAATGTGATACGGCCACTATGTAGCCACTGTAATAAAGGGTATCTATCCCAATTTACCCTGGTAGTGGAAACAATCTTAATTATTTTCCCCACGCAAAAATTGTATGCACCCCCAAACCAGGGAAGTGTTTCCTGACAGCCAACTGTACCAAGGGTGCATACCCCGTTTTCCCCGGGGGGTTGTGGTTTCAGGGAGTAGGGGAAACCATCTTAGAATTTGCTGCAGCCATCTTATGCGTTCTCCCAGGAAGCACATTTTCGTGGTTTCAGGGGTTCTACATTTTGACTACCCCAAGGAAGACTTAAATTTGGGGAAATGAACCCACCCCTGGGTTCAAGTCTACCTTGGGTTGGTCAAAAAGTCGGGTTCCTGCGTGGTTTGGCTAGTCTAGGTCCCAGTAGTGCCCTTTTCCCAACTTTCCTTGGGGGGTTTGCCCTACTAAATAAGACTACAGACCAAAATCGGGTACCCTTATTCTAACACTTCTCTACTGGACCTAGTGTTTGGTAGTTTAAAGAAAACGGCGACCACAAGGAACCCACAGGACACCCACTCAAAACGTGGAAAGCTCCGAGTGGCTTGGCTCGTAAATCCCTTCTCTGGGCCGCAGGCATGCAGCTGCCATGGATGGCCGTGATCCTCGCCGGGCTCGCGTGGTTCTGCGGCTACTTCTGCCTCGCGCCGCCCCCGATGGCCACCAAGCCGCGGGGCAAGGACGCGATGTGCACTCGCCCGGATGGATGTGCACGCGTTTTCTTCTTCTTCTTCTTCTTCTTCTTCTTCTTCTTCTTCTTATTCTTATTAACATCATCATTATTATTAATGTTATATATATATATATATATCGATTTTTGAAGCCAGGCGTTTGGTTCCAGAAAGGTGTTTGGAGGTTTTGTTTCGTTGGTTGAGTGGTTGGGTTTCCGATTTCCATTACCCCTATGAATATCATCCCAAAGGGAAAAACGAAAACAGGCGAACAGCTGCCAAACAAGCCCCAAACCGCTATCCCCATGGGGAAACTCTATATGTAAGCTTTACATAGCGGCTATATAAGGGTTATTTACTCTATTTGGCCTTGGGGGTAGTGTTTTGGGAGTAGTGGACACCATCTTAGGCTGCAGGATTTAAAAGAACACATAGCAGCTGGCGGGCTTGCCATTGGTTCAAAACATCCAGAACCATTGTTTAAACAATTGTCGAAACAACGTCCTTTTGGTTCCCCTTTCGAGCCAGTTGCTTGAACACATGCAACCAACCCTGACAAGGACACTGGCACTATCACCAACCTCATGTACCGAGGTGCTACGTTCTTGGATGACAATTGTTTCAATGATGAGTCCTCTTCAACGGAGTCACTTGGTGCTTAAAAGAAGCGCGCAGGGTTGGCGTCAGCCTGACGCCGTTCTCGACGCTCGCGGAAATGCTTTCCCTTAACCTTTGCCTTAGCACATTAGGGGACACTGCAAAAGCAGATCTCCCCCAACACCTCTCCGCCTTTCCTCCACATTAGGCGCAAGGGAAAGCCCGAATGTTGACCCCATATAAATCAACCCCAGTTTGTTAATAGGGGGGTCTCCATTTCTGGAATTCGCAGGGAATCAGACCATTTTTGGAGGGGCCAAAGCCCCCCCCCGCAAAACAAAGAAGAAGCAACAGCTGGTTGCTTGATGAACACCTTGGGTCAACGTCAGGCTCCCAGTTTTGGGGGCCAACGGCGGATCGCATCGCCATCCCATCGCCGGGCGTCGTATCGCGCAGGCGTGTCGCCCTTCGGGAAGCTCCAGGAGCGGCGAAGCGACGGGAAACGCAGTCGACATCCGAGACACGAAATCCGAGACCGCGGGTTGGTGCCCATTGATGAGCTTGGTGGGGAGTTGCTGCCAGGGGAAGTGTGCCCATGACCTTGGGGATTTTTGTTGCAGGGGAATGGTTTTCCTTCCCTTGGGGATTTTTTGCTGGGGAATCAGACCATTCCGGATTTCCAGGGGTTTTGGAACGGTGCAGGATTTCGTCCATCCACCATTCACAGCAGCCACAGCATGGTTTTTCACTCCATAAAATTCCGGAATGCCCAAAACCAGTGCAGTCACCCGGAACGGTGAGTCATTCCCCGAGCAAGTTTTTTCCAGCCAGGCCTTGCATGCTTTTGAATGTAAGGTGGGTGGAAGCACAGGTCCGCGCTTCGCACCCTATCCGATTCAAAGAAAGCCCGCGAGGTAGGGGGCAGTTCATCGGGATCAGGAGTACGGCAACTCCTGCGAGCCCATCCTGGACCAACTGTGCGACTACGAAAGCTTCGACGAGGACGTGGCTTGTTTCGTGTCTCAAAAGGGCCAGGGGTTCCCTTTCAATTCCCCTCGCGGGGGTTCAGCCATAACTAGCGTGTGGAGCTTGTCATCCACATGCCCCTCTGACTAGTCGGTCAAAACGGGTTCCCCCAAGAAGGACATGGGACATGTTGTGAGTCCCCGAAGGCTTCTTCCGAGAAACCTAGAGCTCGTTTCCCTAGGCCCCCTGTAGTTCTCACTGTGGGCTTGTTTTTAGGTCTTCATTTTTGTTTGCTGGGTTCTCTTCGTTTTTGTTGGGGGCTTCCAAGAAAAGAAAATCACACATTGTTTTGCCAGCCTCCAACGACTGAGGCTGATAAGGACATAGGTTGGGATAAATCGGTTTGCCAAACCACGCGAGTGAAACGAATGCCAGAGGTGTCCCGCCAGATGGAATCACTCGCTGGTTTCCAACGCCACTAGGTCCCCCAGTGCCCTTTCTCACCCAACTTTTTTGGTTGGGAGGGTTCCCCTACTAAAATAGACGACAGAAAAAAGGGTACCCTTATTTTAACCTCTCTACTGGAGGACCTAGGCCAAGAACATAGAGGTTCTGGAAGACAACTGTTCATTCCATAGTTGGACGGAGTCCAGCTTTTGCGGCCGTCCGGGATGTCTAAGCCAATCATGGCATGGCCGCCTTAAAAAACGGCCCTGTGCCAACGCTTGAAGAGGAAATTGGTGTGGCTCAAAATTTAAGGGCTGGGGTTACGCAGGTTTTGGTCTTTGTTTCCATCCAAGGGCCCAACAATGGATTCCACTTTTTGAGCCACAGCCAAATCCCGATTGCAACGTTTTGGAAGATTGCTGCTGCCTGAGACTGCGATTTGTTTTATTCAGCAGGGGTTTGCTTGCAGATGCGAGAAGCCTATGGCAAACCCTACGGCAACCGACCCAACAAAATGCCGGCCCCAAGTTTCACAGGAAAGGGCTGATAGGTTTTCCTGCCTCAAACCGAATCAACAAACTTCAAGCCACCGAACAAAGGGGCAGCGAATCCCAAGCCCCACCATCGAAAGCCCACCAAACAAAAACATCACATCCAACAAACTCTTGAAACACTCGAACCCCATCAAACAACCTTGGAAGCCCTTTCAGACAACCAATCACACCACCAAGCCAACTCCACACACCAGCAGCCCTGAAAAGACACTTCCCCAAGCTGTGACGAATAGTCGTGATCTGCCCAGCGGAGACTGTATGTGAGATGCAGGCTGTCACACACACACACACATACGTGGTCACGGAGGAAGTGTCAACCACTCATCCACCCCAGGATCGTGTACTGATTCAGAGCCATTTCAGCCTCATAGTGGCCATTGGTGTTCGGTTTTTTTCCAGTTTAGTTGAGACATACAGGGCGCTGGTAATCATCTACCAGGGCCATCTCTTCTCCCAAAAGGACACCCATAATAGTGACAGTTTTCCGGAGCCAGGGGCCATGCCTCAGCCCCCCATGCGAGTAAGCTCTAAACAGGTCTTGGGACCATAGGGCACAACCCCATATAGCCGCCTTTAACCCCAATGGAGTTCTAGAATTCATCACGGAGTTGAGCAACCCAATTGATACTCCCCCCTTAAGGCTCTAAAACCCTGCGGCCACTCCTTGAAACACTCCGACAACTCCAACGTTGGCTTCAACTCACGAGAATCTGCTACGATGGCGTGATAGCAGTTGCAGCTGCGAAAAGTAAGCCGTAACACCTTCGGCGACCCCCCAAAAAATTACTCCGGCACGAGACCCCAAACAGCGATAGGCGGCGGTCACACGCTGCAGAGTATTGTGCGGGCAGCGCCGCAAACGGCGGTGGTTGTCAGGAAGCTGCAACATCATTTTGCGGTCGTCATGAGCCGCAAGAACAAACAGACATCGCCTAGACACGCGGCCTGAGCGCAAAGCACGGGGTACATCTAACTACTTTTCTTATTGGGTTCATCTGAGTCTTTTGGCGCTATCGAGATATACAGGGCAACAGCAAGGAGCATGACACGTTCAGTGCATACACGAGGAATGGACAAGCAGTAAGACAAGGAATGTCAGGAAGGAACACATGGAGTCGTGCGTGAATAGTGTGTGGAGCAGCAAATGCAACGTAGGGGGTGCGCAAGAACGCGACTGTTTTTATCCGCGAGCAAAGCACGGCAGCTGAAGTGGGTCTGCGTCGACAAAACCAGCTACTCCTTGCTTCTGGCTAACTCCTGCGCGCTTGCATTCCGTCCGTCAGCGATCCGTAGAGACACTTCCAGCACCCGCCTGCGCAGCCGCAAGGGTTCCAAGATTCGCTCAGTCGCTGCAGGCGTGCACGCCCGGTGCTGTAGGTGCAATCGCCCACGGGTCTCCACGGGGGTATGCACTCAGAGCTGGGCAAAGGGCTTGTTGCAAGGCGGGCGCTGTCGACTCTGTCCAGGGAGCATGCGCGCCAGGCGGAGGTCCGCGCGCGTAGCAGTCACGCTAGACATCAGGAGCAGTTGGCGCATGCACTTCGTGGCCACGTCAACATCTGCTTCACGCAGCAGCTGCAGCTGTTCCACAATGAGCTCGGCTTGCCTTTCCGTCGCAGACTTGGAGCACGCTATGGCCAAGGCATACTGCAACTTTTTGCCCGTCCGAGGTGGGTCCAAGACGAAATCCTTCAAGTTATGAACAGTGCAGTAAGCTATGGCTGTGAATTTTTCGGCCGCGGCAGCGTCTGCCTCTGCTAAACCATCGATGATGTCTTTGGTGACCAAACGGAGCCCGCTGGCAGCTTCTTGCTGTTCGGTGCGCTTGGAGGACACCAAAAGGACCAGGGCTTTGTTGCAACTCAGACGACGGCGTTTTCCTTCCCTCTCAAGGGAACCGGCCTGGTGTGCGTCCACATCCACTGGCTCGACGTGAAAGGATTTTTGAAGTAAGCCGGGAAGGCGTGCATCCACAACCTTTGGCTCCACTTGAAAAACTCCAAAACTGTTTGTCATCAACTCTGACAGCCTCGCGGTGACCAAAGCATCTGTGCTTGGTGGAATCTGCGTCAACGCCTGCAAGAGAGACAAAAGAGGCTGCGTGGCCTCTTGCTTCAAGTCTTGTTCTTCTGCTTCCACCACAACAAAGCGCATCCGCTTCCTTCCGGACTGGCTGTCTTGAGCTTGTGTCGCGGCGACATCTGCATCACGCACCGTGGCCAAGATCTTTACACTGGCCAGCAACGGCCAAGACAAAGTGTCAGCGGCACAGTGGGAACCGAACTCCTGGGCTGCTTCCTTTCCGAATGGGTCGAGGCCAGCGAGGTGACACGCTGCTTTCTGACGAACCCCCACGTCCAAGCAGCCAGAGAAGTCGCGGATACAAGCGGTCCAGTAAATGCGGTCTTCGTAAAGGTGTTCTGGCGGTGGAAATGGAATGTGAACATTGTTCAACTGAAAGACGCGACCGTGCAAATACTCTGTCTCTTGCTGCGCTTGCGCGTGGCAGTCCAACAGCGCACAGGCAGATAGCTGCCCGAGCACGGACGCGTAGTCTTTGGCAGCGTTATGAGGTTGCCACTCTTGCGTCAGCAAGGTTGCCGTGGCGTCCCAGAGCGCGGTCTCTTGATTGGCCAGCGCAGCCGCATGGATTCCAGTGGCAGTCTCATAGCGAAAGCCTTGCAGAGCCGGCGTGATTTTCGCTTCGCCACCGTTGACATTAGCCTCCAAGGCAAAAAAGTCAAAGGGCCTTCATTTTGCAACTCGTCTCGTAAAACTTCCAACTCGGCAGCGGAGACACAGAAGAGTGTGGCGGCCACTTCTGCAAACTTGCCTGACTCGACCTGCGAAGCATCTCGCAAGAAAATTTCTTGTGCGTGCCGCTGACCCAATTTGGTGTTCACCAGCCGAGCGTCGCCGTGAAGGCGTGCGAATGTTGTGAGGTCGAAGCGTTGCTTGCCATCAGGAAGCTGCAAAATCTCCGCCAAGGTCGTTTTAGGACCCAAGCAAAAGTGCGGCAACGTGGACTGCAGCGCCGGCGCAAACTTGGTTTTGCGCAGGTCGACAACCAGTTTCAGCGGCGTGCTGATGTATTCAGCACGTTCGTTGTCGACGAACACAACCCCGGACATCTCGAAGTGCTTGCCAAGTTGGAAGCGCGCAACCGCAGCATCGAATTCCTGTCGGTTTTGCTTCCACATAGAAAATTTGCCGTTCATGTAGGCAGACTCCGTATCAGACGCGAACGTTACCTCCAAGCGTCGACCCTGCACTTCTTTGCCTTGTCGCACAAAGCGATATTCGTCCACGCGTTGGAAGTGAACCTGAACTAAAAATTTGCCATGCTTTTTGGCAGCTGCAACTTCAAAGAGAGGCATGTGACCGCTCTGCGCAGGGCTGGACATTGGCAGTCGCCGCGCAACCGCAAGCGGCGCACCTGTCAGCTCGTACCTGAACGCGCAGGGGCACGCGCGCAGAGTCAGACACACACACACACACACACACACACACACACACACACACACACACACACACACACACACACACACACACACACACACACACAAACACACACACACACACACACAAACACACACACACACACACAAACACATACACACACACACACACACACAAACACACACACACACACACACACACACACACACACACACACACACACACACACACAAACCCACACACACACACACACACACACACACACACACACACACACACACACACACACACACACACACACACACACACACACACACACACACACACACACACACACACACACACACACACACACACACACACACACACACACACACCACACAACACAACACAACACAACACAACACAACACAACACAACACAACACAACACAACACAACACAACACAACACAACACAACACAACACAACACAACACAACACAACACAACACAACACAACAGAACACACACAACACACACACACAACACACACAACACACACACACGCGAACAAACCCACACACACACCAACACACACACACACAACACACACACACACACACACACACACACACACACACACACACACACACACACACACACACACACACACACACACACACACACACACACACACACACACACACACACACACACACGACACACACACACACACACACACTACACCACAGGACTACTTGGCGCGATGTGAGTTGGCTTGACCGCAGTTTGGCGAGAGCAATCGGCGCCATCGCAACAGAACTAGCGCACGTGTCCGGACAACCAGGTAGCGCAAGAACCAACAAGATTTCGAGGGCCACCTGGATGCCGAGGCAAGGCGACATGGCAGAGACAACCGCAGGGAACAGACAGACGGACGGACAAGAACAGAAGGACAGACAGGACAAGGACAGGACAGATAGACGGACAGACGGACAGACGGACAGCACAGACAACTGCCCAGACGGACACAGTCACAGACAGAGAGCGACGCCGACGCAGACACAGCGGAGCGCAGACGCAGACAACAGCGACAGACACAGACACAGGGGACAGAGAAGAAAACAAACACAGAGGACACCGACACAGACACACAGGACACAACGACAAGACACTGACACAGACACAGACGAAGCACCACACACACAGACACCACACACAACTGTGAAGTGCGTGAGGCAAAAGTGCACAAAAGTTCGTAGGCGGTTGTGGACTCACGTAGTGTTCATGGGCTATATCGCGCACACGTCGCCAAACACGTTCACAAACTGCTAGCGCACAGTTTGAAGCAACGTGTGGAAACCCTAGATGAAACCGCCATGTGAGCTTGTGGTGCAATTTCGGGGATGTATCTGGGCACGCTTCCTGAGCAGCCTCTGCGAGGGAACAAAAGCAAGGCAAACCATTGAGGCGAGCGGCAAACCTTTTCACGAAATTCGCAGTTCTGGAAGTACACTGCCCCCGCTCCCACTCAAAAACCACACATAACTTTCAGAAGAAGCATGCAAAGTTTACAAATCTCCCTCCAGCGGCAATCGCAACTGTTCAAGGCAAGTGGGCGCTCGAAAAACAGTGTCCCAGCTCCACCTCGAGAACGGGACCTTCAGAACAGCATACGAACAAGGCCTTCCAAGCGCCAGCTTCGGAATGTGACTTTTCAGTACGAGGACAACACTCGAAGAACACGGCTTTCAGCTCCAGCTCGAACATCGGAAGTTTTCAGTACAAATGCAGTGTGCAAAAGATAGCAAAGTACACTTACCCAGCTCGGATATTCTTTCCAGCTGGAACAGTGCAACTCTCTGTCACGAGTGCAGTGTTTGCGAAGGGCACATTTCACCTGTTTCTTGGGTTCTTCGGCTGGCTTGACTTGTAAGCTGCTGCCTGTCTCTGTGCAGGGTCCCACTTGTGTGCTCAACAATCAAATCTTGGCCAAGTCGGCAACGGCACAGACAACCAAATGATGGGTGTTGTTTTTTCATTTTCCTCTATCGTTTGCAAGGTTTCACGGCTGTGCGAGAGAAT